CATCAAGATGATCAAGGGACAAAAGCACCAGTCCTTTGAGAGGCTGGGAGAGTTGGGCCTATTCAGCCTGGAGAAGAGGAAGCTCAGGGGGCAATCTTGTATATATATATGTTTATAAATACCTAATGGGAGGGTGAAAAGGGAGGGTGAAGAGAGACAGGATCTTTTCTGTGGTGCTCCATGCCAGGGACAAAAACTGAAACACAGGAGGTTCCCTTTGAACATGAGAAAACATTTCACTCTGAAGGTGACTGAGCACAGGAGCAGGCTGTCCACCAAGGCTGTGGAGACATTTAATAGCTGCCTGAACATTGTCCTGGGCAGCCTGCTCTAGGTGCCCCTGCTTGAATATAGGTTTGGACCAGATCCCAACCTCAACCATTATTATTTCTATAACGTCCAGCTCTACCAATGTATGCACTAAGGTATGGGTAGCTAGCAGAAAGTAATTTCAGACATACATGACTGACTCAGTCACATGGCTGTTTGAAAGTCTAAATGTGTCCTCTTCAGTCACTGAAGACAGAGTGAAACACATTAAAATCATAATCTGCAGGCCTATCTGCTCCCTGAATTTAGCTCTACAACGGTGTTGTGAAAATATCACTATACAAGCAACAAACACTACTACATAGGATAAACAGCTGAAATAAAGAAAAAAAATCTGATAACCATTCAAGTCTCTGATTTACATCAGGTGTCTAACACTATACAAAGGTCATCTTGTTTATACAAACAGCATAGGAAGTCAAGCTGTGTATTCCTAGATTTTAAAATTACATAATTGGAGTTTTTAACTTAACACCTTAACAGAATTTTTATTATTCCACTTGCCCTCCTTTTTCTTTTTTTTTTCTTCCTTAATGTACAGTTCATACATTGCTACTCTGAGTAACACACATAGTGGTCCGCATTGGCCTCTATGTAGTAAGGTAATACCTGTAATAAGCAAGTATATATCAGCCATTACCATTAATGGAACTTATACATCCATACACATTAAGGAGAGAATAGACCTCTCAGATGTTAAGGAAAATTTCATAGTGAAGAAGGGAAATTTTAGCTAATATCTAATGATGTTATTCCCAGAAATGCTTAATTTTGGACAAAGTAAAAGCTGTTTGGTTTGAGTAGCTGGGAAGCAAGGTATTGTGCCAAAGGTCTTTAAAATGAAAGAGGGACTGAGAGTGGTATGTCTGATCTCTAAAATCCTAAGAGAACTGTAATATAGTGAATGGGTGCAAATCAAGTCTAATCAATTTTTCACTTAATAATTAATGTGTATGAACATTAGCTTTGCTACTGCTTAACAGCACAAATAAAAAAATAGTAAAAAAAAAAATAATAAAAAAAATACTTATACCTTTAAGCATCCTAGATATTGATTTTAATTAATTTGTTCATTCTTGGAACATAATTACTCCCTTTATGCTAATATTTTTTCCACACTGTTGTTATATCACAAATATAATGCATTAGACTCTCTTCACTTTCTTGTGCTAAATGTACAATTAAAATATAATTACTTTGCAGTTGCAGGCTTTTAATTTAAAGAAGTGAGTGGCCACTGTAAACAGGCTGTAATTGTATGTGAACTCACTTGTCTCATTTTAAAACAAAAATATATAAAATAAACATAACAGATTATTTTCACATTTCTTCTTGTCAATAAATGTTCCAAACAGATTCAGTCTTTCAGTAAAACATATTTGTCAGTGTAACCCAGAATGGACCAGAGATGAAGTGATCTCAGAGGCAGCATGTTAGAAAAACTAACAGCTCAAGAGATCTTCTGGACAGCCTCCATTCTTATCAAGATTATAGGATGTAAAGAATGACTGAGTGAATGTTTTTGAAATAGAAAAGTACTTTTCCTAACTGTCATACCCCCAAGCATCAAAGTTACAGGGTCACAATTAGGCATAGCACAAATCATTTATTTCTTATAGAAATAAATCTATCATAAAATATTTTCTAACTATGGAATAGCACTCACATGCAAATGAGGCATGAAATTAATTATTAATTGTTTAATAATTATTAGAAGAAGGTAAGATATGTTAAAGTCAGTGTATGCTGGAATATTTCATAACATACTTTTTTACATTACTAATTTTTTGACTGTCAGCTCTATCAATTTTTTTATATGTTTACCACAGACTATACACAAAGTCTACATGTATATTAAAACAAACTCATGAGTTTGTAAGTTCAGTGCTTAAAAGTTAGGAACTTGACATCTATGGGTGCTTTTGCAACCCTAATATGATTCAGCAGTATGATGGACTGACCCTCTGTTCTGGATTTTAGCCAAAGGACATAAACAAATGTAAGAGACAGGAAGAACTTAATACAGTTTTATTGGGGGGGGGGGGGGGGGGGGGGGGGATTGTATATTTGTTTGTTTGTTTCCTTTTTAATCAGAATTGTTCCATCAACTTTATAGCATAGGATTATGTGTATGGTCATATCCTGTGTGTTGTCTGAGTATACTCAGGAATCAAGCTATCTTCTTCTTCTTTTTCAGATATGTAAGACAGAGAAACAAAATCACATATTTTTAACAATGACTAACTCACACTGTGCTATGTGTAATTTCATGAGGCAAAGAAAAGCCATCTCGGCACCCATAGCATTCTTCTGCAAAATTTTAAAAGATCATGGAAAACAAAAATGGTGGGGGTATTTCTTAAAAAAATAAAAAGGATCTCACAAATATGTTTAATGGACAACATGAGACAAGCTAAATATGGGGAATGTCACAAGAACCCCTTAAATAGTTTTTTAAACACATTATGAGAATGCCTAGCTATGGATTGTCCTCCAAGACACGTCTTGGAGATTAAACAGAGATCATGTACCAAGAAAGCCCTTATATTTATGCAGTTCACTTCAATGTCCCTTGTGCCCTTATTTTTATATTCTTCCTCACAATGAACATCAAGTAGCACCCGAAAAATCAGTAAAACAGAGCCAAAAAAATAAATAAATAAAAATTATTTAGCAAATATTTCCTAAAACAGAATAGACTTTAAGAGAGTTATATCAGTCATATTTTTCCATGCCAGAAACAACTTGTTTTGGTACTGAAAGCTTAATATAATATTAAAATGCCCAGAAGTGCCCATATAACCAGAAACAAGTATCTGTCAATTTTTCCTCTTATACCCTCTGAAAATGAAAGTTCAGGATGGAAATTAATATTTTGAACAGATGGAAGCCTACTCATTCCTGTGACTTCAAATTCCATACAGTGTGTTTGTCATGCACTGTTATTCATATGTGGCTTATGAAGGCAAGTGACAATTTGCATTGCAACTTGCGCATGTTTATTTCCTGAAACAGATCAGCATTCTAGACTTGGAAAGTGCTAGCTTGTACCTGTGATACTCAAAAGTACTTAGCAAATGTAAACAAAGAACAGGCTCACAATTTCCTCACAGCATGAAAATCCTGTAATTTATTTTCTAATTAATGGTGAAGCTGGACAAAAAGAGATGTAAAAGATATTTTTGCAATAGGGCAAAAATATGCAATTAATAGTAGATAGGTGTGGATCTAGGATGTAGGATCTAGGATCTGGATGTCTATGATAGTTTCTGGAGGTACAAGAAAGCATTTCAAAAGTCTGACAATAGTTAAAGTGGTTCAACCGTATTTCAGGGGTATGTTTCATAAAGTAACTGCAGCAGAGAACTGAGCATTGTGAAACAGGTCATTCTTTCAATATCACAGACCATTATTTTGCTTGGGTTAGTGACAAGAGGCAAAATTTAAGTGATTTTGAGCAGTTTTGAAAAAATATGTAATGATAACTATATGAATTCATTTACCTTCAGTGAGCGTTAAGTATTCATAGACATTTTTTTCAAGTCTTCAAATGTTTTATTCCTGCCCCATAATACTTCAGCCATACTTATCTTTTGATATCAAGACTCAAAAGCATTAATTGTTTCTCTCAAGTTTATTTTAGGCACTGCAGTATGAAAAGTGTGTCTAAACATATTTGAAAGCCTGTAACAGAACACTTTAGAATTCTAGATCCTCAGGTATGTCTTTTGGCAAACAAATCTAGCTCATTTTATTAATTAAATAGGGCATTTCCCAGTAGAGTTAAATGGCCCTGAAGTTTTTAATGGTTTTGATAAGTACCAGACTCTAAAGTTCTTAATTCTTTCTTGCTTTTATTACACTGTGACTAATCAGAATTGCATTTGTGATAATTCTCATGCTTAGGACTGTCCATTAGAAAGAAACAAAATACTGAAAACTCATTGCACACCATGCTATTTGAAGAATAATTCTGTATTTCGTGATACAGATATTTAATTTCCACTACTCTTCATGATTTCAGCAGGAAATTTTGGGGGTTAAAAAATGTGAACCTAGACAATCACTGTTAAAAATTTAAAAGGGCTTTCATATGTAAATTGAGCTTTCCAACTGCTCCATGTATACTAAGCATGTGCCAAGCGATCTTACAGTTAGGTCTGGAAAAATAGGTAGAAGTAAAGTGGTTTAGAGTATGGCATACATTTCTGAAAACAACCGAGTTCTTCATATTAAGCATGGTTTTAAGATTAAACAGACAACATCTACTGTATCATGGGGATATAGTAGAAATCCCCTTTCCCATCATTTTCTAAATTGTAAGTAATCCAATATGAAATACTGAACTTTCAACTATGAAGCACCACCTAGCTGAATGTACCAAGTACTTCCTTATTAAGCACTGTTCTCTTTTCATGCTTCTCATTCCTATGAGAGTGAGAAACACATGTTCATCAATTTGAAAGGAGAGGGAGTGAAGAAAGATGTTTAAAGGCTCCCAAAAGCATCTGACTGATGCAGTGGAGCTGCTTAACGGCACAACCACCCTCCTGGAGTCCTGCCCAAATAAACAATGATTCCTGGGCATCTGTAGCAAACTCAGTAACTACAATGAAGAGTAAGGTACAACAATTCCTCTTAATACTGTGTAAACCTGTATTTGTACACACCTGCTGCTCTGTGAGTAATAAACCAGGGCTGGAACACATTTTCTGGAGTGGTTTGACTCTTTATTCCTCAACGAACGTTCTGGCCCTTCCTTAGAATCCGACCAAGACTAGTGCAACTAGTGCTCCAACGTGGAGCCAGAATATTTTGTGTGTGTGGAAAAATCAAAAATTGTCATCAGGCACAGCAGAAACCTCCTTTCTCTACTTCTCCATTCGGACTTGAAGAGTTTTACACGTTTGCCTAAGAAACAAACACATGTCAAGTACTACACTATTATGGAATTAGTTATAGAACACAAAATTGGAATAGATGGAATTTTCTTTAACTTATAAGTAAAAGTGCAGAAAGACAGGAAAAAACATTTCATAACCAGAGTAAATTCACTTAGCATGGTCTCAAAAAATACCCCAAACAATAACAATAATCTCAAAGGAAAAGTTTTAAACATACTCAAATTCAAACTCACTGATCTGTCACCAAAATCAAATAGAAGTGGATAGGTAGCATTGGTTCTCACTTTTGCAAGCATATCAGCAATTCTTAACTATTATAAAACAGTAATTGAAAAGGTATTTGAAAATAAATCCATGAATAGACCTGTGACACAGAAAAGAGGCATGAGGTCAGAATGTATTTTCTTTCAAATGAAAGATTTGAGTGTGTTCTTTCCATATATATAATAACAAAACAAACAACAACAAAAAAAAAAAGTGTAAAGTTTGAAAAATTTGATCATTCTGAGGACAACTCTATTTATAGTCATTTCTATGGTTATTAAGCTACAGGAAATATCATAAAGGAACAGATGACATTTCACATTTCAAAACACGCTATTCAATTCAGGCAGCTACTTCCCGATCTAGGTATTTGAGATAGTTTTTGGACCTGCTGATAAAGATTTCTTCTGAAAAGGGGTACACAATACCTCAAAAAGTCACCTAAATTTCTTTAAACAATGCTTACAACAGATAGATAATTATTTTCTTCTTCTCTTTTTTCTTCTTTTTCTTTTATGCCTTTAAACTTAAATGTCCTGCCGTAGATCATTAGAAACCTCTATTACAATCTTAAACTGATAACTTGGATAGCATGTTGATTTAATAAGATCTGTACACATTTCAATACTATAAAACAATTAAATATGGCTCTGGATTTATATTTCCTTGAACCTGATAGTTTACAAAATCAACATAAATGATACAGACCACTGGGACAATTATTATAGTGTATAAGTGATGAAGACATATGAGTTATGTTAAGGATAAATCTAATTCATTACTTTTTCAAATGCATTTCATTATTATTTTTTCCAAAAATTAGTGCCACTACAATGCAAATAACTAAACTTTCTCAATGAATCTATAACTCAGCAGAGAAATCAAGTTTATGTTAAAATTCTTATAACTTCACAAAATTTTTCATTTACAAGCAACAGTTTTATATTGAAAGAAGACTTAAATGTAAACCTTATTTTACTTTCTGTAACAGATAATAACTGTTGTAATTCAGACAAGGATATATCCTCTTGTGGTTTTTGTGGTGATCACAACTCCATAGTGGGACTGCGGCATAGCGGCATAAAAGACTGCAAGACAATTAATTAAATAAATGTAATTTTCTTCTCTTTTACATCATCTAGTCACCTCAAATGGAAGATAAAAATAAACTCATTCCTTTTAACAGATAGGCAAACTGAAGCATTATAAATTCATACTACCCTACCAACTGTGAGAAAAGTGAAGGGAAAAGCAGAGATGGGAACAGAGTCTTTCACTAATCTTATCTGACTAACCTAAAGAGCCTAACTAACCTGACTAACCTACTTTATTGACTGGAAAGGGAAACCTCTAACAAACTAGTACTCTAATATTAAATAAATAAATAAATAAATAAATAAATAAATAATCAGGTTTTAAATTGCCTAATACGTAAACTGTATTTCCAACTTGTAATGTATTTTTCCAGAAATTGGGTAAGATTCAATTTCAAATTATCCCCAGTAATGTGTTATCCCTAGGTGTGTTATTTTTCCAGGGATTTTGAATGGACAATAAGCCATTTGGATGAGATCAAAAGAGAAACATAAATTATTTCCTTACCTGTAATTTTATCTTCTCTATGAGGGTACCTGCTGCTCTGCTAGTGCAGTACTGATGTGTTTTCTGCCTTTGTCCCAAGCGTCAGAGATTCCTTTGGTGATTTTTCCCCTCTTGATTACCAGCTTCCACTGCTGGCATTTTGAGGTAGTGCACTCAGATTTGGCTCCACGAATACTGCCACAGCTGAGGGAATATAAGACAACTAAAAAACAAGTTAGAAAACAGCAGAGCAATATCCAGGCAGGAAAAAAAAATGTTTAAAAACAATGAATCAGTCATCAACTTGAAACACTTCGATCATTTTCCTCTTTTTCTATCCATTTAGAATCTCCAAATGAAGAGACTTTCCCATGATCAGAGAAATTTTAGGCAAAGTAGTGGGTGCTGACAGAGTAGTGGGTACCCATCTAGAGAATATAAAATTATTTTAAGGGAATCTAATTTTACCTTTCTCCAGTCTGAGTACCCATCACACTATCATTCTAATACGGGTAAGAAACAGAAGAAAGGTGGCAGATTTAAAGGATAACAGAAAAATCCCTGTCACCCTTAATAGAAGTCTTAATAGAAGCAGGAAAAGTGAAGATTGAAAGGCTTTTCACCTAAAAGCTCTCATAGATGAACAATTAGTATGATCTCTCACTGCCTAGGGAAAAATATGTAAAGTCTGGTTCAATAGGAAGTAGTCAGAGTTGCTCATTTCCAACTAATTATCGTCGTCATCTTGGTCATTAGAGAAAAAGAATGAAAAAGAGAAACCACTACTGTTGATTTAAATAAAGTAAATAAATACATAAAGCACAAAACAGAGCGAATGTACCATCCATGCTTGAAGTAGCATGTAGACAACAAATTTCACTGTCATTGTTTTGCACTTATGACATGTAGAACTCACAAGTTTCTGTGACATTCTTGGAAGCAGATAGCATATCACGTTGATATTAGTTTCAGAAAATGATGGCTTTGATGGTCTTCCCTGGCATTTTTCCCAAACTCAAGATAAACTGATGCAAGTTACTGTCGTCACTCATGAAGTGAGCAGAAATTTTTTCTTGCTTGAGTATTATGGAAATTTCCAAGTGAAAGTTACAACTTTGTATAACTCCTGTGTACTGGGGATCACTTTAATACTATTTTTTTGGACTTCATAGTACACAGAAAAGATGTATTCTGTCTAAGGAAAAGACAAATTATACGTTTAACTAAGAACTTGCTTTGGCATTTAATTTGTGTTTCTTAAAGAACCTGGACATATCCGTGTCTTCTCATTATCCCCTGACTAGTACACAACCCGAGACAAGATAAGCATGAATGAATCAGAGCAGCTAATCACAATTAGTTACCAGAATTCTCAAGTAAAGAAGGAAAAACCGAAAGGCTCAAAAATTTCCGGAAGGTAAGTAACAGTGCTGTGATTTAAGGTCAAGAGAGATAAAAAGGACTCTTGAATAGTAATCTCTTGAAAGACTCCAGAATAAATTGGCTTTGCAAGTCATCAGCTTCAAAGATGACAAGTTGCATTCTAGAAAAATGTTTCTTGTTCCTTTTTTTGTGTACAATGTTGAACAATAAGTATTGGCAACTGGAATCAGAAAGATGCCTTGAAGATGATAAATACGCTTTTTCTTTTCTTTCCAATATCACTCTAAAAACAAAGCAGGAGAGAGGGATCTCAAAATTCTAGAACAATTTCTGTGATTTTTCAGTGCATTTGCCAAAGTTGGTAAAAGAACAAGCAGAGATAAATCCTTTGGTCTTCTAGCAGGGATGTGTTGCTGAGCCACAAAGCTTGAATTCAAGATATAGGAAAAAGCTGTTTTTCTTCTTTCTGGCATTAGTAAAATATTTCCTGGTATTCTTAAACCTGAAGAGGCACAGATGCTTTGGACCTCTTAAAATATGAAGCTCCATGAAAATTCTTGAATCTTCTATTTGTCTTGAGTGTATAGATACAGGTTGTTTAGAAAAAATTCATTGTTCACTTGATATCATATCCAACTTCATAAACTGGGAGACATATATTCACTTCTGGTGAAGAGGTCTTGCCAACATAATGCTACAGGTCATATGGTCACATGATACAAAGAAGTCATGGTGAACTGGATATTTCATAGCTTTGCCCCAAATCTCCACTTTAGAGCTCTGTGACATTTCTCACTACAGATATGGAAGGTGTTCGATGATAGTCATTAGGACTGTAGTTTCTGAGACTAAATCATCTGTATATGCTAATATTGTATCAGAAAGCAGTATAAGAAGACAACATCTACTTTTAAAACATATATAGTCCTTTGGAGTCTTTTCTCTATGTACAGCAGCCGTGTCTTTCCTGAGATGAACATGATCTTCATTAAGGTGGAAGAAGGAGTAAATAATAGGCTATGAAAACATGAACAGTTTTGAAATTCGTATGGAAATAAATCCGATGTTGTTCCTCTTCTTTTTTTTTTCTTTTTTTTTTCTTTAAATTGAGTCCTAGAGATCAATCTTTCACTTGTTCTTGCCAGAAATACATTTTTTGCTTAAATTTGAATTCTTCTTTTATAGGACAGGACTATCTTCATTACTGTAATAATAATAATCTAATTCCAACTGGTTTGAGAACTTTTCACTACTCCACAAGATGATTGTGTAAAATGCTTTGTATGACACTTTCTCTATTTGGTATTCATTACTATCTATTTCTGTCTGACTATTAGAAGGCAGAAAAGCAGATCTGAAACAGGGTAGAACATATGAGATTTTATAAGTAGTCCAAATGAGTAAAGAAATACCTCAAGAAAATTATGAGATTTGGGAGAATTTAAAGTGATACCTTTTGGACAGTTGGGGGCCACCTTTCCACCCCTCAGATCATTTCTATAGATGATCAGTGATGTATAGTTTGTGAAGCCTCTGCCATATAGAGGCAAGACTTCTGCCTGCAGCTATTTTTGCATGTAATGCCAAGTTTCAGAATCCTCTCATCCCTCTGAGCTGAAATGCAATGTTTCTGACTTGCAGAAATGATCCAAAGCCCTCACAGACCAAAAAGGAGGATGAGACAAGGAAGGGCAGTAGTTTTAGAGCATCCCAGCATGACTCATATCATACTGGCATTTGAAAATCATCTTCCTATATGGTAACTTATGAGGTTCTAAA